TAACCCCACTGTAAAAGTAACATCATTCTTGGCATATTTTCAAATTTTCTTTCATTTATAGGGTTTTCTACAGTTAAGTAACAGTGTACATCATAACCATCTTCCTAAGCCATTTAAATTCTATGTAAATGATTTTATTAAGCATGTGATGGTCATTGTTAAGTTCTACCTTACTGTTTTATCAGTTTATCTTTTTTTTTTTTTTTCCTTGCGGTAATGCCGGGCATTGAACCTAGACCTCATGTACACTAGGCACAAGTTCCTTGATATTGAGATTTAGGCTGTTTTAATTTTTTCTGTAACCTAATAAAATGTTGGAAATTACTGTCTCTATGCATAACTTTTTGTCCACCTTTATTATTTTTCCTAAAATTTCCTCACCTATAAGTATTATTATAAATTCCAAGAAGATCACAGTTTTATGGTTCTTAACCCCATTGCAGAAGGATAGCCTATCAATCACAGTATTATCATCTGAGTGTATGAAATTAGTGTTCCTTGGGAAAATGTGTTACCAAACAACATGAAAAAATTATGCACACATTCTCTTTCCATTGTTATCCTTTTTCTATTGTTTCATTAGAGTTTCTATAACAGTGTTGTAATTTCTGTTATGGTCTAGAATGTTCTCTTGTCTGAAAATAAACAGAGCCATCATTAGTCATTAATATTTTCATTATTGAACTTTCTACCTTTTGTAAGGGTCTGTATGACAGTTGCAAATTGATGGAGGAAAAAGAAGAGTCAGTCCCCTCACCATCCCAAGAAAAAGTTGGTTTCTCCTCATCTTTCTTTTGGTGGCTTTAATCACCTTAAAAGTTTTTATTCCTCTTAGAGTTACTGGTTCCATAAATGTGTCCTTCATGTGAAAGCAAAACCAAGAGACCCCCTATTTATGAAGTATGTCTTTTAAAAGAATATAAAAACGGAGGAAACAGTGAGTGAAGCATCAGGCTTTCGGAAACAATTCAAATGGGGGAAGGAACAGGAAGTTGGCTTTAAATGGCTTAAGGGGATTAGGGCTTTAAAGGTGGGTAAGGAGCTAGATGCTTTGGGTTAGGCCTGGCATTGCTTTTAAAAGATTATAACAATATTTGACAGTGATTCCAAATGGAGTTTATAAAGCAAATAGTCAGTTTTGAGACACTATGGAAAACAGAGGATGTCTTTTGTTGTTGTTTGTTTACACAAAATGATTGGCTAAAGTTAACAGGCGAATCCTGAAGCCTGAGCTCATCATGACACAGAGTTCTGTCACTTCGGAGAATCCAGCAGAGGTTGTTCAATGCACTTCATTGAGATTATCTGAGGTTTTGCTTTAAATTACTTTAGGAAAGTCTGGCTGCAAATGGCTTCTTTGAAAGGTAAACATACTTCTGCTCTCTGCTTCTATACATAGTTGGTGGCACGAGCCTTCCCCCTGAGTTGTGGGTAGTGTACAGAGATACAAACCTTAAACATAGTACAGGTGCTGATGTGATTGAGAGAGTGTTCCATACAACTGTATCGAAATGTCATAAATCGTTAGGACAGCAGCCACTGACAATTGTTAGCAATCTCAAAAGAAAAAATAATGAATATGATTTTGGTTTGAAGTATACCAGTTATGTTCTTAAAATGAATTTCCTTATTTTACTGTAAGAAGAAAGTCATGTGGAAAATGAACGAAGAATAATATATTCTTGATTTATGTATGAGTAAATGTCCAAAAGCTGACTTGTTTTCACCCTCTTCCTCAGCTCCTTGACCTGTTTATGGTTTGGGACTGGTCCACTTACCTCGCTGACTATGGACAGCCAGCCTCCAAGTACCTTCGTGTGAACCCACACACGGCCCTTACTCTCTTGGAGAAGTGAGTATGTTCTCAAAACTGTTTTTGTTTTTATTTTAGGTAGCATTTACACAAGGTTCGATTCAGTGATAAGGAACTAGAAATTTCTCTGAAAAGAGAAATGTCTAGATGGAGTTTTGAAAGTCAGTACAGCCAGATGTGATAGCATATGCCAACCGTGACGCAGGGGGATCATGGGTTTGAGAGAGCTGAGACTTTAGTGAGTATATGGAGTGAAACCTGGAGGAGAGGCGGGAGGGAAGGAGAGAAATTGAGTCCATCTTAATGAACCAAAGATAAGTCTCTTTCTTGCCTTTCAGGATTATTTTTATTACATATGTGTGGAAAAACTTGTTTTTTTCCTAATGTATCTTGAAAATCTCAGGCTCAGTTTGCTTTATAAATATGTTACTGGAAGTCTGGAATGTTTAGTACAGTTGTTGACTGCATTGTGCTAGTGCCTGACTCCATTCCCCCAACTGGAGAGAACAGGGTTCACTTGAAGACACAAGAATTGGAGCTACTTAAAAATAAAATAGACAGGGCCAAGAAATGGAAAGTTTGCCTCAGTAGTATCTCAGTCTTGAATTCTGTGTCGGTGGAGAACTACATGATTTGAGAAAACAAACGATAGTAAAAACTACGACAGTAGGGTTTGCTGCTCCAGCTAGACACAGTGCTTCCCCCCCCCCCATTATGTGGCAGACTTTTTCTTCACTCAGTCACAGTTTGTTTAAAGTATAACTATTAAGATGTAGTTTCATGCTATATTGTACATTGTTTTCCCAAATTTCAAATATAGTTGTGGTTATTTGATTTGAAAGGATGTAAGAAACTATTCACAAATTATATAAATTGATTTTATAATGTTAGGAAATGCTGCTGAGGCAAAAAAAAATTACATTTAAAATTTTCTGATGCCGTTTTCACTTTCACGTGGTCTTGCTGTGAATGTGTAGGAGAGCCCACGTTGGGTATTCTAATACATCTTCTGGTGGGATGTCTTGGATTTGTTTGCTTG